CCCTTATCTCCTTTGTTATTCAACGTTTTACTCGAACACTGTCTCCGGCCATGCAAAAAAGAGTGGTGTAAAAAACGCTACGGCTTACGATTGGACCCGCTGAACAGCAAAATGCTCACAAATTTGCGTTTCGCAGATGACGCGCTCGCCGTGGCACCCACATTGCACAAACTCAAGCAGATGCTGTCCGGCATCCAGAGATACACCGCCGACGTGGGCTTATCTTTGCACCCTGGCAAGACAAAGATATTCACAAATGCGAGCAGGAAGTCTGGGAGACAGGCGGCCGGCTCGGTACACGTAAATGGTTTGGAAGTCGAGATTAGTCCAAGGACATCAACTACCAAATATTTAGGTCGCCTTGTATCTTGCGACAAGCCTTTTGAATGTGAACCCAACAACAGAATCCGCAAAGCATGGGCTGCATATGGTTTACATAAGCAAGAACTGACCAGCCGATCATATCCTCTCAAGGATCGCATCCGGCTGATTGACAGCACGGCGGCACCAACGCTACTGTATGGAAGCGAAGTGCGGCCTATGACCCGCGACGTGGAGCACCAAATCACACGTGTGCAACGGAGGATGCTCGGGCATATGTTGGGAGCAAAGCGAAAAACAATTCAAACGGAAGGCGTGTAGAACGCTGATGTTGATTGTGCCGGCGTGGACAGCAACCCAGAGCTGGAGCAGGACTAGACGTCATCGGGCGCTTCGGAAAGCACGCGTCTGGAGCCTTGGGCCGATTTCATTCGAAGAGCGACGAGGGCTAGAGAGGAACACCTGCAGACAGCACGTATGGAGCCATGGGTACACCAGCAGAGACGACGCAAATGGCGATGGGCTTTTCGAGTGGCAAACATGGATACGGACCGCTGGGCTTCGCAAGCGATGTACTAGGACCCGGCGTTGACTTCTATATCAGCGCGTCGCGCGACCGGCAGACCGGAGAAACGCTGGGGTGACGACGTCCGCGAGTGCATCTACACGCAAGGTGTGTACACTTGGCGGCAAATCTATGCATTTTCACACGAGGCGCGGAATGAGTTAGAGGATGGGTTTGCGACGAGGTAGTTTATAAGCCTGGTGTATGTTTTAAACGTTTTCCCAAATCTGTTAATGCAGCGACAACCCAGTACTCTCTCCCAGCGCGGGGGACCGCGTTTCCCATGCGCCTGCCCTCTTAGAGGACCGCCCCCAAGGGGCTGGAGTGCGGGCCTGTCTGTCTGTCTGTCTGTCTGTCTGTCCCGTTCGACCTCGAGGAGGACAAGTGCATCTCGAAAGAGACCCCCCCACGAGTTCGCCACAGAGCACAACCTACAAGTTTGCCAGGAATACGAGGGCGCCTCGGACGGCTACAAGCGAGCACTCCGCGGCGTCATCAAGCGCATCGAGTACCTCAAGAAGTGCGCCCCCGTGCCAGACTGGATGCTGCCCGCCGAGATCTTCCAGATAACCTTCCAGCCCACCAACTTCGCCAAGCTGAAGCCGAAGTCGTCAGGCGCGGGCTACGTTGACGGGCTCGCTGAGGCCCCCTCGCGCAGGAGAGGGTCGAGCCAGTCCGTAACCGCGCGTGCCGCGTCGGTTTCGCCCCGCACTACGCCCGCCACATCCAGTGCTTCACAATCGACAATAAGAACGGCAAGCCCCAGCTCCTCGGCTTGCGCATGCTCCACATGCAGCCCCCCTTCGGGCGCTGCTTCTACAGACCGCTTCAGTGCAAGTCCAAGCCGTGGTCACCTTTACCTCCACATGCTCAAGGCCGCTGACCTCATCGGTTTCGAGTATTACCCTCAGGACGCCAACAACGAGGAGGAGTAGCCTACCAGACCACGGGCGACCACAGGCTGCAGAAGTTGATCACGGTGAACATCAAGCAAGTGCTGGTCAACTCTCAGCAGCTCGCATGGGTCGTTTCCGCCGTCTACAGCACGTATCCGATGTCGGTGCAGACCCAGGTGATCAAGGCGCCCCGAGCCTGCAGCACGCCCTACGCGGACAACTACAAGAAGACGGGCAAGGGTCACTCGCCTATTTCGTCTCTCTGCCCCGCGGAAGTGGGCGCCAACACCAAGAGCAGTTTCACAGAGCACGGGAAGTCAGTGGACCAGTTCAGCGCGGCGACCGACCACTGCAAAGTGAAACACCTGAAGATCAGCAAGTGCGATGACAGCTACCTCGCGAAGATCACACTGCATAGTGTGCGGGGGCTCAGGACCGACGCGGAGGCCGAGGAGGTTCCGCCAGAGGAGCTGAAGCAGCAGTGCAACACCAAAGGACAGCATCCACCGAGCGCCGACCCAAGTGGGAGCTACGGCGAAGACGGGCACACCACCAACGGGAGTCATGGAGGACATGCTGGCTGCGTGGTGGGCATGGCTATGACTACGAGTATGAGAATATCGGATGGCCGATGCGACTACGCCTCGTTCGGCAAGGCGATCGGCGTGCGTGGCGCCGGGATCGCAATGAAGGTGCCGCTCTGAGCGGCGACGGCGGGGGCCCATCCTTGCGGCCGAATGCGCTGCCTTGCCCCCCAATGCCGCTCTATCTTTCTACCCTCTGGTACCGTCCTCGCGCCCTATGGCCCGCTCATCGTGATCCTCCCGTGAAAGTTCTGCATCGCAGCGGCGCACATTAGTGAAGGCGTAGTTTGAGGGCGGTCCATCGTTCGTCGGCGGAGCCTCACATTGCTCTGCAGATCCGTCAGCGCGTGCCTCTGGGTCGAGCGGGCCTGCCTGACAAGCGTTTGGAGAGCCCTGCGTTTGAAGAACAGGGGTCGTCACGCTCCTGCGTGATTGGTCATGTACGGGGGTGCGTAGGATATGGGGACGAGGAGGAGGAGGAGGAGGAGGACGAGGAGGACGAGGAGGACGAGGAGGACGAGGAGGCGGAAACGCAATCGTACATCTTGTTCGGGGTTGAGTGTAGAGCGTCGCCGGTGGCTTGTGTGTGTGGGGAGGGGAGAGAGTAGAGGTGGGTTGAGGTGATGACCATGGTGAATCCCAGATGCGGCGGCAACGATGCTGCAATGCATCCTTCCGTCTCGAGTCCCCTCTATAAGTCGTTACGCGCCTTTCGTTTAACACCAAGCGCGCCCCCTTTGCAGATCAGCGCCACGTTCGCTTGCCACTCAGGCGGCAGACTCGTTTTGAAAAAGGAAAAGCCGTGTATCATTGGAAAGCGTAGACAGGAATGCGAGAAGCTATGTTCATGCAGTTCAAGAGGTCTTCCGAGATAGGCCCGATTGAACAACGACCGCCCCCCTTCCATCCGCGTAACGGTTGCATAACTTGTCATTTGTGATCATGATTTTCGAGCAAACCTCAAGCCAGAACCACAAGTTTGAAAAGAGACCGCCCTCCATGTACGCAGCTGTTGCACAGCATTGCACCTTTGGCCATGAATTTTGAGCGAGTCTCATTGTGGAAAGGACTTGTCCTGTATCTACGCAGCTGCTACATAGGTTGACTGTGCTGGCTCCTAAGTTCAGGGAAGCCTCAAGCGAAAGGCACGTGTTGAACATCAGCCCTCATTCCTCCCGTGTTCTAGACCTTTCTCAGACGAATTTGCGCGGTGGTCAGGCGGTAGCCCAATATTGAAAGATAACAGCCATAACCCTTCACACTTGCAATGGTTGCAAACTTGTAAGCCGAATGTGACAAGGATTAAAGCGAGTTCTCCTTCTTAACAAAAAAACGTTGGCTCCATCCTCCATCCCTGTAGCTGTTGCAACCTATGATCACGACTTTGCGCGGCGCTGTGTGTTCCACCGTTGGACTTGTCGCGAATGGTTGAAACGATTGCGCTCTGCGCTAAGGCGGGAGTCCTTGGAAGCGTCGCCAGTGTTTGAGATATGTGTGTGTGTGTGTGCGGCGCATTGCCGAACACTCCGTTTTGAAACCGCTGGTGTTGTATCTGCGTGGCCGTTGCAACGTTCAAGCTTCAGGCTCGTAGGTGTTGAGGGAGCCTCAGGCGGAGCGCCCGGCCCAACGTATCGATAGTTTGGGGTTACGACGGGGAGGAGTTCGTTTTTTTGTTTTCCATGGAAAGGATGGAGCAGGCTTATTCCATTGAGGACGAGTCTACGGGTGTGGATGATGATCTGGCGGCGGAGGAGGAGGAGGAGAAGGAGGCAGAGGAGCAGGAGGGAGAGCAGGGTTAGACAGAAGATAAGGCGGATATGCAGTTTCAAGAGGACGACGATATGGTTGTGAGTGAGACTGGGGACGAGAAGAAGTGGAGGGGTATGGCAAGTGGGGTGATGCATAGGCATCGATCGGCGCGAATCTGAAGCGAGCCACAATCGTGACTTGACACCCTTGCTCAGAGCCGCCTGCGGCGTGGTCATGCAAACGGGTTTCGGGCGGCCCAGCCGCGACGACAAGGGTCAGTCCGACGTGTTGCACGACGTGTGACACGTGTGGCGGCAAAGAGACAGGGTACGTGATATCTCGTGGAGGAAAACCAAGAGGGATCATGGGAGGAGCATGGGGGCAGCGGCAGGGGGAGGAGGAATATGGAATAGTGGAGGAGGGAGGAGCCGGTGGAAGCGGGTAGAAGCGGAGGAGCAGGAGGAGGAGGAGAAGCAGGAGGAGGAGGGGCAGAGGAGAGGGGGAGGATGACGAGGAGGAGGAGGAGGAGGAGGAAAAGGAAAAGGAGGAGGAGGAGGAGGAAAAGGAGGAGGAGGGATGATATGGAGGAGGGAGGAGGACGAGGACGAGGACGAGGCGGAGGAGAAGGGTGATAACGACAGAGGTGGAGAAGGAAGGGAGGGATGGGTGATGATAATGCAGAGGGGGAACAGGTGAGAGATGAGGAGGTGAGGAGCGGGCCTGAGCGGGAGGAGGAGGAGGTGGAGGAGGAGGATGATGATGATGAGGAGGAGGAGGAGAAGCAACACGGAGCAGGAGGACTCAGGAGGAGGAGGACGACGACGACGAGCTGCCCGCGGGCTTGCCCGCGGGTCTCCTTGCCGGGGCTCGTGGCGCCCTTCTCAGGAGTGGGCTGCGATGTTCTCCAAGACGTCCTCGCGCAGCACCCTGTCGGGTGGCAACCGGGGGGGACAGAGAGAGAGGGGGAGGGGGAAATATTCCGAGGAGGAAGAGGTTTCCATGCCGCCGCTCTCCCCTCGTTTTTATTGTTTGTGGTGCCTCCAGGGAGGCCCTCGTCGCCACGGCTGGATTCGCCTCCACACCCTGGTCAGAAAGCAGCCCTGGGGAGGTCTGGGAAGTAGCGGTCTCGGCATTCTTTGTCGGGGGTGACAGCGTGCGCAACGACAGACCGCTGGACAAGCGCGCGCTCTCACGGTGCGGGAGGCAGCCGAAGACGGGGCCTGGGGAATACGCGCCCGCGGCCTGGAGGCAGGGGCCCCGGGCCCCAGGCGGGGGGTGGGGCAGCCCGGGGGCAGCTGCCGCGCGCAGGGCGGCGACGAGGGCCGAGGATCGGCGCCCGTCGTGCGCGGAAGCGCACATGCGGATTCATGCGCAGTCATGGGTCCATCCCCTGGCAGCTCCACCCCCGTGGCAACAGCGGGCGCGACGAGGGGCGGAGCCGGAGGCGAAGAGGGCCGATGACGGCACGAGCCCAGAGATGCCCAGGGGTGGCCAGTTGTTCTCAGGCGGCGCGGGCGCGAATCGTGACGTTATACCTGGAGGGGGGAGGGGAGGAGTGGCATGGCCACTCACGCGCGCTCGCGCGAATTATAAGAAGATTGGCTTGTGAAGTGCGGATTGGTAGCGGGCCCCGCTTTCGCGCAGAATCAGCGCGCCGTCGCCAAACCAGGCGGCACTGGCCTCATGTTTCGCGGGTGCCTTCCCGGATGTGTGGATCTGGCGCCCACGCGCTTGATCCACAGGTGCGAAATCTATGGTTGCATGTGCCCGGATCATGCCTGCCAGCATCATATCCCAAGGGATGTTTCCGACCGGCCGACAGTGCCACCCGCTTTTCCGCCATTTGGAGAGCCCCCCAAGCTATCCCCTGGTCCCCCACCTCAGGTCTGCTTCCTCCAGATGCCTTCCGAGGCTGTCTGTGGGGGACTGCAACATGCCGAAGAGGCCCCGACGACTGCACATCAGGCCCCAAAATTGGCCCCGAGAGGGCTGGCATGCTCCCGACGGATCCACGTGCTCTTGCACGTCTGACGCTGTCCTTCGCCAGCGCAAGATGGCTTCGAGACAGCTCATGGTATTGCTATGATGAGGTGGATGGGGGGCTTCTGTGGGTCGCCGAGGCGGCCCCAGAGGTCCCAAGGCGGGGCCGCGCAGGCCCTGGAGGTTGCTCCATGACGCTGGTTTTCCCGTGGAAGGTCCCTTGTGGTCCAGCCCCTACTGCGCTTGGAAGCGCCGGCTGGGGGTGCTCCGATCTGGAACGCCTCGCGCGCGGACTGGGAGGAACCGCCATCAGGGGGTTCGCGGAGGGTGCCCCAGTGTTCTTCGTGATTGTTGGATGTTCTTGTGCTTCCTGGGGGAGGGTATCCTCGATGATGTTATGGCTTTTGGTGGGCTGGTCCGCGGAGGGTCTCATGTTCTCGAAGGATGCTCTTCTCGTATGGGTCGGGCCGTACCCGGCTTGCGATCGTCTGCTGGCGAGCCCAATGAGGTTGCGCATCTAATCGTCCTTCTCCCCCATCTTCCTTGATGTCCTTACACGCCGGTCATTAAGTGTAATTTCAAGCGCCTTCCTACTACAGGGATCGAGAGTTTTCCCCATTTGCCTCGTCCTCAGTGGGCGGGCGGGAACCCAATCAGCGCGCGAGGTGGTTCAGCCAGTTCCGCCAGAGATATCTGGGCTCGGTCTTGTAGCGCGCGAGATGGTCCAGCCAGTTTCGTCAGAGATATTATCGCAACTCTGGGTTCAGAGATGCGGCGTGATATTTTCGCTCCAGTTTCGCCTGAGACATCCTCGCAGTTCTGGGCTGCAGGATGCCTTGACCTGAGGCGGTCCGGGCCGCTTCTTTTGAGACGTCATCAGATGCTACGCGAGAGATGGTCTGGCCAATTTTGCTTGGGACGCCCTCGCATGTCTGGGCGCGGAGATGCCAGTGTCGCCTGAGACGTCCTCGCACTTCTGGGCTCCATCTTTGGCTCCGATACCACCTGACCTGAGGTGGTCGGGCCAGGTTTTTCTGCAACATGCCGCGCACAAGGTGATCCAGCCAGTTTCGGCTGAGACGCACTCTTATTTTTGGGCTTGGAGATGGAGCGCGCGCGGCCAGCTTCGTCTGAGTCATCCTCGCAACTCTACGCACCGGGATGCCCTCACCTCAATGGTTCGGCCAGATTCGCCCCAGACCTCCTCGCAGTTTCGGCCTCCGAGTTGCCGCTCGCGAGGTGGTTTGGCCCGCATATGACCAGATACATTCTCGCATATGACCAGAGATGCCTCGTGCGAGGTGGTCTGGCTAGTTTCGCCAGTGGGGCCGCCAGGGTTTTCAGGAGGCCCGTGAGGAAGCTCACTCCATGCGCGCCCGCTCGCCTGCGGCGCACGTTGCCTGGCCCGCGTTGCGCCCCAGTTCGCATTGTGCCACTGCTGGCCTGTGCATGAGGGCGCAGCTGGCGGCGCGGGGGCAGGCTCTTCTTCTTCTTCTTCTTCTTTCTTCTTCTTCTTCTTCTTCTTCTTCTTCTTCTTCTTCTTCTTCTTCTTCTCGGTGACATGCGCTTCGCTGGGGGCAGCGCGGCAGATGTTGCACGTCCCGCTGCGAAGAGCTTCGCTTCGCGGCGCCCGCGGGCCCCTGATTGGCGGGCGCCTTGCCAGGCGCCCGCGGCTGCGCGTGGCGCCTGTTGCCCGCTCGCAGAAGCAACCCAACTCGGATTGTTCAAGAGGGCCGTTCGCGTTTACTACGCTTGCCCGGAAGTGCATCGCACGCGGCGTCGCTTGCCCCAGGCCGACAGGCCGCATGCCCACGGGATGGGGAAAGTAGAATTGTATGCTCGGGTTCCCTCCAGGCAAGCGGTCAAATCGAAGCTTGGGCGCTCCTGGCCCTGGCTGCCGCACGCGCGAACGAGTTGGATGCCATTCGTTTGCAGATGGTTTGGCGGGACCGAGACTCCGCGCGACGAGACCCAGGCGGATCTTGAACGGCGGGCCGTAATTTAGCACCTCCGCTGTTCCGCCGGTACCGCATGGCAACATTCGCCCTCTGCGGCATGTCGTCTGGGGCGTTTGTGGTGGGCTGAAAAGGACACATTGCCTTCGCGGGGTGACGTTTCCGCGCCAAGCGGGCGGTGCCGCGCGAAGCCGACGCGAAAAGAAATCTTGACGGGGGCGGAACAACGCGAACAGAAATCTGGACGGGGTCGATGAGAAATTATATCACCCCTTATCGGGGGAGCGTAAGACCCGGGTTTGCCAGGACTCGGGTTCGCCCTCGTTTTTTGACGACCGCGCCTCGGATTTTGACGAGGAGGAGTTTCGTGGGATGTCTGCAGCGGGAGGCCTCGTCAAAATGCAGGCTCGGCCTCGTCATTTTTGTTGACGACCTCGTCGGGGATTTCCGAGTCCCCTGTACCCAGGTCTTACGTCCCCCTGACCTTAGAACGCGTGGATGTGAATTCGCTTCGCGGGCGGAGGAGGAGACTGAACCACATACCGGGAAAAGGGAGGGGGGTCCCTGGGGGTTGTCTCATGGGTTGTCAAGGGGCCAGGGGGTTATCCAGGGGTTGTCTAGCCTCAACCTCCTTCTCCTCGTCCCCCCCGTTTTTCCTCCCATTGGTGATCCTCCACCTCTTCGCGTCAACGATCGTCGCAGCCAATTTCGCACGGTGCGTCGTGTGCGTGTCAAGTCGCGCGGGAACCAAGTCAGGTGCCACCGTTCTGCGAATCACCATATTGTACCGCAGGATGTGATCCAGACACCGATGCCATGAGGAACCCCGAAGCGCGCCGCATGCGAGTTGCCTCGCACGGAGACCAATCCGGGGACCGCCGCCACAGCAGTAACAATGGCGCGTCCGCATGGGAAAAAATTCGGTGGCCGCAGACAGGAACCACGATCGCCTCTGTTGATACAAGCACCACAGCGATCCCCTCGCGTCATCCTTGTTTCATATTCTCTCTCCTCCCCTCTCTCCTCCTTTCCTTCGGGTTCGGATCCGACGGAATACGTAACAAAAAAAACAGGGGAAAAAGGCGAGGAGAGGCTGGAATCATGATAGAAGAAGGAGGAGGAGGAAGAGGAGGAGGAGGAGGACCACCACGACGACGCTGACGATGATGGCTGCGGCAGTTGCTTCGACAGCGGCGCGCGCGCGCGCGCCCTACGGCGCACGCGATTCGTCGCAGCTCTGGGGTCAGGGATGCCACGCGAGAGGTGGTCTGGCAAGTTCCGTTTGCGACATCCTTCCAGTTCTAGGCTCCGAGATGCTGCGCGTGAAAATGTCCAGCTACTTCTGCTCCTCGTCATGTCGGGTTGTTTTGGTTGAAGCGCACGAGGTTGTCCAGCCACTTTTGTTTGAGATACCGTCGCATTTTTGATCTGCTATGACCTGAGGTGGCCCGGCCAGCGTCATATGAGACATCCTCGCAACTATGGGTTCAGGGATGCCGCGTGCGACGTTTTCAAGCCAGTGTCGCTTGAGATGTCCGCGCAATTGTGGGTTCCAACATGCATGCCTTGACTCGGAGATGGCGCATGCTAGGAGCTCCAGCCAGTTCCGCCAGAGGTATCCTCGCAACTCTGGGCTCCAATGCTTCAACCTGCGGTCGTCCAGACAGGTTTCTTTGCGACATGCCGTGCACGATGTTCTCCAGCCCATTTCGCCTGAGAAATCCTCGCAACGACGGGCTCAGAAATGCCACGCGAGAAGTGGTCCGGCCAACTTCGCCTGCGACGTCGCATTCTAGTTCCGAGATGCCGCGTACGAGGTTGTCCAGTTAGTTTCGCTCTAGATATCTTCGCAACTCTTGGCTCCCAGTACCGGGCGCGAGGTTGTCCAGGTAGGCTTGCATGAAACATCCTCGCAATTTCCTGGGTTCCGATAATTTCTGACCTGAAGTGGTCCGGCCAGTTTCGCATGAGATTTTCTCCAGATGTGGAGCTCAAGGATGCTGCGCGCGAAGTTGTCTGGCAAGCTTCGCCTGAGACATCATCGCAACTCTGGGCTCAGAGGTGCGCTGACCGGAGGTGTTCCAGGCAGTTCCACCCGATCTATCTTCACAGTTCAGGGTTCGGAGATGCCGCGCTATAGACGGTCTGGCCAGTTCCGCCTGAGACATCCTCTCCAACACTGCGCGCTGGCCACGTCCTTGATTGGGAACGGTATTCTCGCCTCAACGCCGGCCACATCCTTGATTGGGTACGTATCGTGTTGCCGCTCGAGTGCCAGCCACATCCGTGATTTGGGGAAAAACTCGCCCGAGCTCTGGTTACATCCTTGTCTAGGAGTGGTGCTGTCGCCTGCGCGCTGGCCACATCCCTCATCACTCGGCGTGGTGCTCTCGCCTCATCGGCACGCACGGTCTGGGCACAGGAAGAATGGGCACAACGCCCAACAGCAGTTCCTTTTCATTTTGAACAGGGCTCGCTGTCCGCGCCGCCGCGGCCTGTCTCCATTTGAAACAGAAGGCCGCCTGCCCAACAGCGGCCACTGTTGATTCGGGACAACATTTGTTGTTGGGCGTTGTACCAATCTTTTCCGTGCCCATTTCGAGCGTCCAAACCTGAGCGCCACCACATTCCCAAGTGGGTATTGTGCTGCCGCTCGAGCGCCGGCCACAATCACATGCTGGGACGCTTATGGTATGCATCGGGGAATCTTTGTGGATTTGATTATTTCCCATTGAAAATAGTACGGGAATTGTAACGTACACAAGGCGACGGGTTGATTACGAGCCGCGTTCCACCGAGACAGCTCCCTCCAGAGTCCTTTAAGAGGAGAAACAATCCGAGGTGTGCGTTTGTTCCCCCGTGGGATCCCGAGACTCCTAACCCAAGACGGACGTTTCGATCGGCGCCCCCTGAATGCCAACCCCGAAGAGAGGCGAATCAGCTAAAGTTTCAACCTCTACTTGACGTCGCAGCTCGCCAAATCATTGACGCGGAAACGCACAGCAGAATGCATATCGGTGCGCGTGGGGGATGATTATGTTGCGACTTTGCTCACCACTCTTCAGTGTGCGTGTGTCCCATCAGGTCGCCCCTAACACATGCCACAGTTCGTTCAAACTCCAATCTGGAACAATGCTTCGAGGAGGCCACGCCAGCCTCCAGCAGCAGCGCCTCGTGGAGCCCGCTGGCCATCGGGGCGGCCCTCGGGCTGGTGGTCGCCGTGATGGGCGGCCCGCCGGCGCTGGCGGCGGACCTCGAGAACGGCGAGAGCGTGCTCCTGGGCAATCGCGCGGCGTGCCACGCGGGGGGGCACAGCGGCGTGGTGGCGGAGAGGACCCTGAGGAAGGCGGCTCGCGAGCAGTAATTTCCTGACTGGCGGCTGCAACGCGGCTGCCGTCAAGACTCAGGTGACGAAAGGCAAGGGCTCCACGCCGGCGTGCGGCGACGAGCTGGGACCGGACGACATGACGTTGCAGTGTACGTGCTCGACAAGTCCACCAAGTGGTGATCAGCTCTTGCGCGTGCGCTTGTGGCCATGCCGACATTTCCGGCCCATGCTGGAAACCAACGAGGGAGAATATTGTGTTGACAGCCGTAATTAGGTGTTTGTGTTTCCGCATGGATTGTCAGATTTTCAGTATTTCAGCAGTCCAGTCGTTTGCTCGAAGGTCCTCCCTGACTCTGTAAGTTTTTACCGTCTGCCAGATCGTCTGTCCAAAAGGCAGTTGGGAACGACATCGACGACGTTGCTGCGTACGTGCTCGCTCAGTCCACTGAGTGGTAGTCAGCTCTTGCGCACGCGTTGCTAGATTTTCAATATTTCAGCGGTCCAGGTTCTTCCTGACGTCCCAAGCTTTTTGTTTAAGTCTTCCAGATCCTCTGTCCGAGAGGCAGCTGGGAACGATGGGAAGTTGGCAACGATGGCATATACCCGGGATTCAGCGCCTGGGGCCGTCAGGGCAGATTCCAGATCTCCATGCCGGTGGGGCCCCTCCAAGACGCGCCAGCGCGCCAGGAGGGGCCCAAAAGCCACCGCAATGGCCCAAGAGGGATCCGAATCGTTGAAGGACCACTCCAAGACGCCCAAGATGGCCCCAAGACGTGCCAGGAGACCACCCAAGACGCACCGCGGGTCCTCCAAGAGAACTCCCAAGAGAGCCCCAACACTCCAGCATTGCCCCATTGCCGAAGGAAAACGTGCATGTTTAGCGCGCACGACTTTTCTGTTTTCACGGCGTTAAAGACGGCCGATGGGGCCCCCAAGACCGCCCCCAGACAGCCCAAGAGGCCCCCAAGAGCGCCCCAAGCCAGCCCAGAAGAGCCCCAGGACGGCCCAGCAGTTGGCCAGAAGAGCCCAAAGATTGCCTCCAAAGTGGCCCAAGAGCGAAAGCCCGAATCAACAAATTGAGGTTTCCGCCCCAAGATGTTCCGAGGCGCCCCCCAATAAAGGCTCCCAAGAACCCCCGGCCGCGTCAAACGCGTCCCGAAGTTTCGTCCTTCAACCGTATATTCCCCCTCCCCTGTTGCAGCTGTTGCGTTTAGGATCGCGATTGTCCTGTCAGTGTCCCGCGCCCGGCACCGCCGCGGGGTCGTCGCGCCCACCACTCCACTTCCCCCGCCCCCCTGCCTCCGACTGACCTCCCATCTCATCATGTCTCCCTCCCTGCCTTAATCCCATCACGATAGTGTTAACCGGCACAGACATCTGTATAACCCGTGCACCACATCCGACATCCCAACAAACACCCAAACTACTCATGACCCACAACCCAGGCACGATGGCGGATGCGACTGCATGTATGTAACTATGTGTGTATATGTATGTGTATATATGTATATGCGTACATCGACATATACTTCGATGTTGACTTGACGAAGAGACGGGGGAAACACAGGAGGAAAACGAGGAGCAGGAACGAGGGGAAAGAAGTGGTGGAGGAGGAGGAGGTTGCCAGGCTGCCAGGTGGGGGAGGGGGGGATGAGGAGGAGGAAAAGGAGGAGGAAGAGGAGGAGGAAGGGGAGGAGACGGAGGAGGGGGAGGAGGAGAAGGAGGAGGAGGAGGAGGAAAAGGAGGACGAGGAGGAGGAGGAGAAGGAGGAGGCGGAGGCGGAGGAGGAGGATGAGAAGGAGGAGGTGGTGGAGGAGGAGGAAGAGGAGGAGGACGAGGAGGACAGGGAAGATGAGGAGGATGTACAGTACGGTACAGGCTTTCCACCAAGGGACCGCCCGTCTAAAAAAACAGGAGGACGCGGACCTCCCGCGCCACGAAGACGTCGGGGTGGCAGTTTGTTCCCAGCGTTCTGGGCCTCCAGAGGCCCCCTCCTCGCTGCCTGGGGCCCTGCCGTGATCCAAAGAAGCTAATCCGGCGCTGGGGACGGGGTCCAGGGCCCCATGGGGGCCTCAGGTCAGCAACGGGCATGGCGCCCAGGGTCTCGGGAGCAGGAAGAGGACGGCGGAGGGGAGAAGGAGGAGCGTGAGGAGGAGCGGAGGGACCAGAGGTGGAAGAGCGGGAGGCTCTGCGGAGGAGGGGGGGGCAGCAGGAGGCGGAGGAGGCGGAGGCGGAGGAAGAGGAGGAGGAGGAGGAGGAACCGCACGAGGGGAGCAGAAGGGGTGCCGCCGACGAGGGAGGTGGGGTGAGCAGCAGCCACTCTTCCTCAACCTCCTCGCCGTCCTCCTCCTCCTCCTTCGCCTCCTCCTCCTCGGCCTCCTTCCCCAACTCCTCGTCGGCCTTTTTCCCAAACTTTGTCCTCCTCCTCTTCATCCTCTCCTATTCAGCGCCTCATCATCATCATCATCATCATCATCATCATCATCATCATCATCATCATCATCATCATCATCATCATCATCATCATCATCATCATCATCATCATCATCACCATCATCATCATCATCATCATCATCATCATCATCATCATCATCATCATCATCATCATCATCATCATCATCATCATCATCATCATCATCATCATCATCATCATCATCATCATCATCATCATCATCATCATCATCATCATCATCATCATCATCATCATCATCCTTCCCCAACTCCCTTCTCGACGCTCTCGCCCTCGTCCTCCTCCTCCTCCTCGTCGTCATCGGTCTTCTTCGGGGTCCGCCACCTCCTCGTCCTCCTCCTCGTCGGCCTCCTCGTCGGCGCCCGGCAAGGCTCCCATACGCTCGCCTCCGAGCACGTTGAGGAGACCCCGCCGCCCCGCAGCGCGCCGCGCCGCGCGGCTCTTCTCGCGCGGCTCCCGGCCGCCGCTAGCCGAGGAGAGGGGGGCGCCTCTCGCGAGCACTCTTTGCCAACCTCCTCCTCCTCCTCCTCCTCTTCCTCCTCCTCCTCCTCCTTCCTCCTCCTATCCTCCTCCTCCTCCTCCTCCTCCTCCTCCTCCTCCTCCTCCTCCTCCTCCTCCTCCTCCTCCTCCTCCTCCCATTCGTTATGATGCAAGTCGGCGGCGAGCGAGGGGGGGAAGTGAGAAGCAGACGGATCTCGCAGAAGGCGGCGGGGCCTCTCGGACGCCCTCGCGCCTTCGGAGCAGGTTCCTGTGCCCTCGGGGCAGGCCTGGGGAACTTCCCAGAGGGCTGGGAGGCTCCGGAGGCCTCCGAGAAGACCCGCCCCTTTCGCGCTTCCCCCCCTTGCTCGCCGCCGGGCAAGAGCACGCCTCTGCCCCGAGGAAGCCTGGCCTCGCGGGGGCGCGGCCTCCCGCCCCCCCCCTTCCCCTCCCGTCTTGCGTTCAGTCAGGCACGTCCCTCTACAGGAGAAGTCTCCAACAATAGTCAACAACTCGTATGGGGACGATGTTTTGCGGATGTCTCCACATTCCTGAATCTTTGTTTTGACTACTTGCCATTGATCGTTCAAGATCCGCCCGTGGGAGGACATGCCCGACCTAGGTCTTACGGCACCCGTGAGGATCAAAGAAGCCCCAACCCTCAGAGCGCAAGGAAGTCGCAGCCTGTCTTGGGCCCCCGTGTCTGCACGAGGGATCACACTGACCTGGGCGGCTCGGTTTGATGCACCTGCAGGAAGGACTCCCCCCAATCCCTGATGGTTTGATGCACCTGCAGGAAGGACTCTTCGGTTGCACCTCCTGGTAGGTCAAATTCTGATTTAGCCCTGGTCCTTAATCCCGCTTAATCCAGCTGAATCCCGCTCAATCCGGCTTAATCCGGCTTAGTCCCGCTTGATCCGAGGCCCCCACTGGCTTAACAGCCCCCCAATGGGGCTGAATCCTCCTCAGTCCTTCCGACGAAAACCTCTCAGTAGTTGCCTCCTGATGGTTTGATGCATCTGCAGGAAGGACCCCCCCCCCGGTCCTTGATGCTCTTGGCCTCGGCCTGGGCCCCGAAGCCCCACAGGGGGGGCCTCCCGACGTCTTCCAGGCCCGCCTCCTCCGGGGCCCTGCCGCGCCCTGCGGGGCTCCCCGCCCTCGCCTCGAGGCGCGCGGGGGGCGCCCCGGGGCCGCGCGGCCTGCAGCTGGGCCGCCCTCTCCTCGGGGGCGGCAGGGAGGGGGGTGATGACTAGGGTTAAGTCGGGCCTGTTCCTCTACAGGACGAACGTTCAGAAATAGTCAGAAAATAGTCTGGGGACGATTATTTTGTCTAATAACCATGTTTTATAATTTTGGCTTGTGTGTATATGTGTGTATATATATATATATTCACATTTGCCCAACGTCCGCCTGTAAGGAGGACATGCCCGACCTAAGACTAGGGGTGGTGGTGGATATCATGGCGGGGGCCATGACATCTCCCCAGGTATGATGGCGCCTCTTCTTATTTCGTTACGTCCCTCCCCCCCCGGGGCCGCGCACCTGCCGCCGGCCATGATTTGCGCCCCCCCCCCTCTCGGACGCCCCCCTCTTGGCCGGCCCTGATCTCTGTCCACGTGGCATCGCTCGGACGTGTGCATGCCTTCCTCGGTGAGGACCATCGGGGAGCTTCTTTCACCGAGCGCTCTCCACTGCTTGCTGAGTGCCCCCTCGCAAACGTACGAACAACACATCGTCTGCATCGATGTAATGTAACGTAAGCCCCCCAATGGCGGATCCTGACCATGTGCGATTACGTAGTTACTTCTCGAGTAACGGAGCGCGCTTGTCCAATCCTGGACCATTTTGTGAGAAAGTACACGACGAGATCGAGCAGCGCAAACGGGGAGTGGCCGTCCGAGCGGCGGCCGGTCTTGGGCCTGGTGCGCAAGAGTCCTCCTGTGCCCCTGGTGGAGGCTCCCTGGGAGCCCTGAGGTGCCGGCGTCGCATGGGCCGAACGAGGTCGGGGCCCACGAGGTGCCTCCTGCTCCTGCTCCTCCTCCTCTTCCTCTTTTTGCCTCTTCTTCTTTCACACCTCCTGCTGGTCCTCCTCGTCCTCCTTCTTCTCCTCTTCCTCTTCTTCCTCTACGCGCAGATCGAGGCGCAAGAGGCAGGGGTCAATGCACACGAGGGTCAGTCAGAGCGCTTGATCTTTGCAGGATCCGGCAGGGCCAGGGGCGCACTGACCTGGGCTTGGGTGCAGAGTTCCGATTCGGATCTTGCAGGATGTTGCAGGACAGCGCAAGGCCTGACTGACCCTTGTCTGGATTGACCCGGGTCAGAAGATCCCCGATGAGGGGCGCCCAGAACGTCTTGGCAAGACGGGCGCCAGAGCCCCGCAGAGCGCCACAGTGGCCCGACACCGTGTGGCTACACCCATACGAGCCTGGGGTCAGTCCACCGCGAGCTGAGTGCCCAGTGGCGGATCGGTGATACGGATTACGACTACCCGTGCGATTGGGATTGCTGCCAGACGTGCATTTATCGTTGCTGCTTCTGCTGGTTTTACTGACAGCCTCCCTCCTACGGCCACTATGGCCACTGACCTCGCCACATTTTCGGAGGTCCGCACGGAGTTCTTGGAGCAGGGCTGGAGCCCCCCGCTGTTGGCGCGCTCATCGCATCGGGGAAGGGGTCCAGCGCCGATCCAGGACATCCGCGCAGACTTCCGAATGCTCATGTCCATGACTTGTTCTCTACCAGCGTTTCGCCTAGAGGGCCCTGGCAGGGGCAATTCAAACATGGCCACTGCAGGAAGAGTCCCGCAGCTGGGGCGTGGTCCCCGAAACCGCGCGGTCTAGCAGCCGTTTCGCCTGATAGTTCCTCACAGGTTGCAGTCCACCCGCATAGTAAGGATGGGCAACCTTCTCAAGGGTGCCCTTGCATCCTTGCCTCCTCGCCCCATCCTTAGCCACTGTTGCTGGCTGCGCCCCGCCCGCGACGTATCGACATGGCCCTCCAAGGCCGTTGTATTCTTACCGCGTATGCTGATGATGTGGGTCGACTGTACTCAGGACTCGTGTTTTCGCTTTTGATGTTCCCACCTACTTCAGCCTCGATCACCAGAAATAATGTCGAGCACCAGGCAAGTAGCGAAACTTGAGGGTTTACAAGTGTCGGGTCCGGGGGGACGATACTCCTTCGACACCGACTCGATACTTTCATGGGTGCTCGAAATTATGCCTGGGATGTGGTCCTTAAGTGAGATTGGAGCAACATAAGCTTTCGCCTCAACAACGGCCACATCAAGACATACACTACACTACACACGGCCGGGCCCTCACCCCATGTCCCGCCGGGCAGTGTTCCAGGGAATCCCTACTACATGGGGAACACCTGGGAACACACGCTTCGCGCGGGCCGACCTCCAACTCCTGGACCCGCCTTTTCAGTGCTCCTTGCTGTCAGGGTTCTTTGCTCGGGGATGTTTACTTCCTACCACCTGTTCTGTTCGACCGAGATCACGGCATCGACTGCGACGATATGGATACCAGGATTGCTGCCATTGGCACGCCCACTACTACATTTGGTCCTCCGCCAGCGGTGTGGTGCAGCAGTGCAGATCTGCGACATGAGTGGGCTACGCGCACATAGATTGCGAGAATGGGGAGGAGGAGGAGAAGGAGGAGGAGGAGGAGGAAGAGGAGGCTGCGCTGAGGCTAGCGCGCAGAGATGGCAGCAGGACCCTGGAGGGCAAGCGCCAGAGCGAACCGTGCAAGAGAAGATTGGAGGGCGCGCAATGGGGGTCGCCACTCCCAGTAATTCGCGCCCAAAAAGAGAGGAAGAAGGAGTCATACGCAGGGCGCCGTGCAGAAAGCAGGCCGAGCCTCTCACAGCTCGAGCCCCAGAGCCCACGTGGGCGCGCAGAGGATCGCTCCTCGCGCATCGCGGCCCAGGCACCTGCCATCGCTCAGAGGTGTGCGTTTGTGTTTTCCGCGAGGGCCATCGAGGAGCCCTTTTTCGGGCCATCTTGCCAGCAGAAATGCCCGCGCGAGGCCGAGCATGCACGGGGAGCGGGCGCCCGAGCGATGGCAAGGGCACGAGCGGCTGCCCCTCTCCAGATGGGGGCGGCGCGAGGGCGCGAGGCGCCAGGGCAGGCGGCCTGGGCGGATGTCCGTCGCAGACCACCGGGGCCTTGCGCACCTTCGCGACTGCCCCCCGAAACAACGCCTGCACCTGTGATCGTTTTCAGAGTCATGGCTTTGCCGATCTGCGCGGGCCCTCGCCCCTCCCCTCCCCCCCCCCTCTCCCCCCCCCCCATGGAGTAAGTAGATCTTGGCTGTGTTCGGCGCCTGTTTTTCAGGCAGGTGGGGTCTCCCCCACGGGGCGCACTTTTGCAAGCAGTCGCGCTAAGCGGAGGTCCGGAGCCAGAACCCCCCTCCCCTTCCCCCCCACCCTCCTTTCGCTCAATGTCGGAACGCCGAATAAGACAACGTTCACCTTACTGTATATCTCATAGGAGAGAACCCCGGAGAGGCTTGTCCCAGGGGGGTTGTCCAGATCCCCGCTGGGTTGTCCAAGCGGTTGTCCGGGACAGGTCGATTTGTCGCCATGCATCAGCATGGGTTATCCCCGCGGGGTTGTCCAGGGATTTGTTTCGATTGGATTTGCCCACTGAAGATGGTCGAGGGAGGTCCTTTTCTTCTCTGCTGAGGTACTTGGCCGGGCGGTCGGTCTGGCGGCTCCGTGGTGGCCGTCGCCACCCCGTCGCCGCCTCGTCGCCGACCGTCGTCTGGGCCTGTCTGTCGGTCTGGCGGCTATGTCGTTGCCGTCGCAGCCTGGCCCTCGTCCGAGCACATTGCACCACATCGATCTCCCAAGATGTATATATATATATATATATATACATATGTGTATATGTATAGATTCTCCTTTCTAAGAGAAGAATAGACTCTCCCCCCCCCGGAGTTAACGGTACCCCCTGGAGCATTGTGATGTCATATTTATTCTGCACATTCGTTCATTCTGAATATGAACTCATACTATCCCAGCCAGGCCGGTATCACCCCCCGCGCCATCCTTTGCCAAAAATGCTATGCGCGCACACTCGTTTATAACAAATCATAAGTTTTCAGAACTCCTTGATGGACGAAGTGCACACGCGCGCGTCGTCGCGCGCGCATGCCGAAGTCCTTCAAGAACATTTGGTGTCGGAAGGATTTTAAACTCGAGCTCCCCAAAAACATACAAAAACGCAAGGTTTCTCAACACGGATGTTCAACAAAAGCGTGAGCGCGCGTTCTTGCGTCGTCGTCGTCGCCGTCCTCACTCCTCCCTCGTCGTCGTCGTCGTCGTCGCCGTCGTCGTCCTCTGTCTTTCCTCGTCGTCGTCGTCTTGGTCGTCGTCGTTGTCACCGTGGTCGTCGTCGTTGTCACCGTGGCCGTTCTTCCTCCATCGTCGTCTTCGTCGGCGTTTCGTCGCTGTCCCTCCTATCTCTTCGCCGTCGCCGTCGTCGACGTCGTCTTCCCTCCTCCCTCGTTGTCGTCGTCGCCGTCGTCGTCCTCCCTCCTCCCTCGTCGTCGTCGTCTTCGTCTTCGTTGGCGACGTCGTCGTCGTCTTCGTCGTCGCCGTCGTTGTCGCCGTCGTCGTCGTCTTCGTTGTCGCCGTCGTTGTCGTTGGCGTCCTCATCGTCGTCGTCGGCGGCGCCGTCGTCGTCGGCGTCGTCATCGTCGTCGTCGTCAGCGTCGGCGTCGTCGTCGTCGTCGGTGCTGTCGTCGTCGTCGTTGTCGTCGTCGTCTGTGTCGTCGTCGGCTTTGTCGTCGTCGTTGTCGTCGTCGAAATCGTCCAAGACGTCGTCGGTGTCGTCGTAGTCGTTGTCGGCGACGTCGTCGTCGTCGTTGTCGCTGTCGTCGTCGGAGTCGGTGTCGTTGCCAAGTGCCATTTGGTACCCACCGTCACGGTCTTAAGAGGTCTTGCGACCAAGTTGCGAGTGGTAGGGTGGAATGTTTGCACGAGCAGTGCAGAGGACAGCTTCAAGTTGAGCAAGAGAATTGCACAACATAGATTGCACCAAACTGGTCGCACCACGTATATTGCACCACATGTATTGCAACTCCTTGGTCGTTCAAAGTAGATTGGTCTGCGCCACAGAGGTTGCAAACAATAGGTTGCAATACATATAGTGCCCTCCATCGATTTAGACATATTGCACCACCGACATTGCTCAACCTATATAGCATCACATCGATTGCACAACATACATTGCACCACACAGACTGCACAACATATATGGCCCCACATCGGTTGTACCACATTGTTCGCACCACATACATTGCACAACCTAGACTTCAGAACAAATATTGTTCCGTATAGAGTGCACCAACTATATTGCGTCACATGGCTTGCTCTACATACTTAGCACATCATGCATTGCTAGAACACGGTTGGGAGTCCACGCTGGCTAACACTTGTCTTCAGAAGGTTGTCGCGTCGGTTGGCGTCTTGTAGTCGACGAGCTAGCGCCGATCTGGCGCCGGTTCTCGGCGTTGAGTTGCGTCGACTATGGCGCCTGTCAGCGTCGATCCGCAAGAGCCAACAGGATGGTTTGGGAGGCTCCCATGAGGGCTGGCATCGCTCGGACCTGGGGGGGCGCTCTGCCTCCGCGCCGCCCCTCTCCGAACTGTGAGCCATGGCGAGGAGCTGCCGCCGGACGACGACGCGACCGCGACCGCGACCCGGCGACGGCGGCGCTCTGCCTCCCCAGTTTTAGGTTCGGCAGGTCCATCGAGAAAACCAGCCGAAATCTTCGGATCTTCACCGGGAAATTCAATCTCCCCCAAAACTACAAAAATCTCTGAGCCAAAAGTTGCGGAAATCTCAAACTCCAAACAAACAAAACAAATCTAAGCCAAAAGTTAAGGAAATCTCAAGCTCTTCAAACAATCTCGACCCCCAGAGGCCTCGACCCCTTCCCCGGGACAGGCTTCTCATCCCGAGTCGTTTCGTTGACAGTCCCGAGGCCCGGGCAGGGCCCCCAGAGGCCGATAAATGTAGCGAGAAGCTTCCCGTCTTGGTTTTGTCACCGCGCAGTGAGGTCGTGGAGCACAGAGGCCGCTGAGCACCGGGCACGAGGGCCGGTGAGCACCGGGTGTTGTGCTGGGGAGGAGGGGGAGGAGGAGGAGGAGGGGGAGGAGGAGGAGGAGGAGGAGGAGGAGGAGGAGGAGAGGAGGAGGAGGAGGAGGAGGAGGAGGGTGAGGTCCGCTGCCCCTCTCCGAGCGGTGCCCGCGCCGGGGCCTGGCCCTGGCCCGCAGACCTCGCTGGTCTTCAGCCGCCAGACCTCGCCCGGGACGCGCTGCGGGCAGGGGGGGGGGGGTAAGGGGGAGTGAGGCCGCCAGCGGCGCGGCGCAGCAGTCCAAGCATGAGGGAGCTGGAGGAGGAGGAGGAGGAGGAGGAGGAGGAGCGAGGAGGAGGAGGAGGTCCGCTGCCCCTCTCCGAGCGGTGCCCGCGCCGGGGCCTGGCCCTGGCCCGCAGACCTCGCTGGTCTTCAGCCGCCAGACCTCGCCCGGGACGCGCTGCGGGCAGGGGGGGGGGGGTAAGGGGGAGTGAGGCCGCCAGCGGCGCGGCGCAGCAGTCCAACGTTGCGGCATGAGCGGGCTGCGCGCACATGGATTGCGAGGAGGAAGAGTAGGAGGAGGAGGAGGAGGAGGAGGAGGAGGAGCAGGCGGAGAAGAGATGAGGAGGGGGAGGAAGGGGGCGACGAGGAGGGAGGAGGAGGAGGAGGAGGAGGAGGAGGAGGAGGGAGGAAGAGGAAGAGAGGATGCGGAGTGGGAGGAGGGGAGGGACGAGGAGGAGGAGGAGGAGGAGGAGGAGGAGGAGGAGGGAGGAGAGGAGGGAGGAGGAGGAGGAGGAAGAGGAGGAGGAGGAGGCGGGGGAGGGGAGGAGGAGGAGGAGGAGGAGGAGGAGGAGGAGGAGGAGGCGAAGGAGATGGAGAAGGAGGGGGAGGAGGAGGCGGAGGAGTAGGAGGAAGAGGAGGAGGAGGAGGAGGAGGAGGAGGAGGAGGTGGAGGGGGAGTTAGGAGGAGAAGGAGGAGGAGGAGGAGGAGGCTGCGCTGAGGACAGCGCTCAGAGCTGGCAGCAGGACCCTGGAGGGCAAGTGCGGAGCGAGCCATGCAAGCGAATGTTGGAGGGCGCTTAATAGGGGGTCGATGTACATGGGCTGCCGAAAAGGCGCCCGTTAATGCCCCTTGGCCCTAATGCGAGGGTTGTCGAAAAGGCCCCCTGTAGGGCCCCTAAAGGGGCCCCTTCGGGGCCAGCAGGGGCCCTTTTCGGGCCGCAGAAGTCCACCTTTACTCCCCTCTCATTTATCGCCCCCCCATGAAAACGGGGCTAGGACGACAGTTAATAAATCCGTTCCTGAGCGTTCCAGAACGCTCTCAAAGGCCGCGGCTCCCGGGTTCTCTTCCAGAGCCACCGGATCTCAGGGATTCTCGATTGACCCTCACCCGAGTTTTTTTCCGTCCCGGCTTCGTCTTATGGTAGGGGCGAGGGGGGAGGGGGGAGGGAGAAAGAGGAGGCCCACGGGCAACATTTTTGTGGGGGGGCGCTCCGGCCCCCCAGTCGCCAATGCATCGCTGGTAGGAGGCCGCCCAGGAGCGTGCGGAGTTGATATCGGGGGTTCATATCGCCGATGTACCGCGAAGTTGGGGGAGGGGGAGGAGGAGGAGGAAAAGGAGGAAGAAGAGGTGGAAAAGGAGATGGGGGAGGAGGGGGAGGCGGAGGAGCAGGAGTTGGATGAGGAGCACGAGGAGAATAATCTGCAGTACCAGTAGTAGTAGTAGTAGTAGTAGTAGTAGTAGTAGTAGCAGCAGCAGTAGTAGTAGTAGTAGTAGTAGTAGTAGTAGTAGTGGTGGTAGTAGTAGTAGTAGTAGTAGTAGTAGTAGTAGTAGTAGTAGTAGTAGTAGTAGTAGTAGTAGTAGTAGTAGTAGTAGTAGTAGTAGTAGTAGTAGTAGTAGTAGTAGTAGTAGTAGTAGTAGTAGTAGTAGTAGTAGTAGTCGTAGTAGTAGTAGTAGTAGTAGTAGTGGGAGTAGTAGTAGTAGTAGTAGTAGTAGTAGTAGTAGTAGTAGTAGTAGTAGTAGTTGTAGTAGTAGT